CAACAAACAGCTGGGCGTTGCGCGGCCATGACTGTCTCAGTTTGTCAAGAGCCCATCGAGTCTTCTGTACCCGTTCCAAAACGTTATCAATGTGAGACAGCTATCTAAGTAGCTAATTTCCTCTTCTTCCCCAGCAATAGTTGAGAGTTGTTATAACCCAGTTCTGTGTCAGCATTTTACATTTTGAAGGTGCTAGACGTGCACTGAACATGATTACACCAACGCCCAAACCGTAACGAAGAGCCTGCAACTTATCTGGATGGTCACTCAGCAGCGGTACATCTTCAGCATGCTCCAGATCATACAACCTATCGTCCGAGAGCGCATCAGTGTCTCAACCGTCGTAGGAGAGCAAAGCTGTTTCGAAAGTTGCATCTAGTATAGAGTTGAAAATCAGAGAGATAGAGAGGAGGAAGCTGTGACGGGCACCACTTTCTGCGGTAAACTGGGGCGAAAAAGCTATAAGTTTGAACTCGGCTTCGGTTGTTCGCATAAAGGGATGGTAATAGGAAAATGAACTTCTTTGGTGTATCCTTCAAGGAGAAAAGTACCAATGTGCGGTCCACTAAATCGGGGGTCTGAGATCGAGGTGGATGTTAATCGTCGGTATGTGGAAGGGATATGCAGTATTTGGGGGAGAGTGAGTGTTATGTTCTGCCTAAACGTTTGAGTGCCTCTAGTCTAGCCCCCTTCCCCCCCCACCCCCAAAAAAATAATTAAATAATAATAATATGGGGGATAAAGCACTATCGGAGAATAGCAGTCAGATTATATTCTACGATCATGATGCGCTACGCAAATATAAGTGGGTAAATTGGACATACGGGAACGACGTAGTGACACACCAATCAGATCGCATCCTTGACACTCCCATTGGTCGAGCGGACGACAACTGTCTGATTCATCCTATTCATCCAATCTAGTATCCTTATGTCGCTGTTTTCTCATTTCTTACCTCTAGTTCTGTTCTAAAATATTCCGCATGATTATTGTCGCATCTGTCTAATGCATCCTTACGTGCCTGCTGGTCCGGCATCTATACGTACTTTGTGGAGTCCGGTGCATGGCCCTCTGACATCTAATCATTTTTCTGGTTTTTGTATAACTTTCAACGGTCCACGCTTTACCAATAAAAAACGAAAGCAATTCGAACAAAATGTTTGTACTTGTCTTTTACTTTTGAGAAAAATTTACCAGTATGAGTCCTCCATCCTTTCGTCTGCACACATGCAACTGTTTTATGTGCGAAGAAGAATACTTTCATATGTTGACGATGATTCCGAATAACTTCATCTCACAGGTGCAATTTATCAGCTCAATTCATGCGTTCCACAAGTTGAAATTCATTGGAGTCAAATGTATCATACAGTTTTCGGAACGAAACTGGGCAGTTAGTTTAACCTTGTGCAATGCATGAATGAAGCTGATAAATTTCTTTTGGCATCGTTTGGGTCCATATCCCCTCTGTTTTATTCAAATTTTTTTTTTCCAGTATTCGTTACCGCACGGTAGTTGCAATGGTGTCATGGAAGCAAAAAGTTGGATAGCTAACATATATATGTCAAAATCCGATACAGCTAGTACTAGTGCTAATCCACATTCCTTAGAAAACTGTCGAAACAGATACTGTTTTATTTCATGAATCCGTTTTTGTTCTTTCGTGATTATTCGAGCTCGTTTTTATCCTGCCTGATCAACCCTTCAGTTTTTCTAAAAAAAATTATTTCGTTTCAGGGTTTCCGAGGCCTATACCGGGGATACTTGAGTACAATTTCACGTGAAATACCGTTTTCTTTCATTCAATTTCCCGTGTGGGAACAACTTAAGGTGAGACTGACGGTTTTCCTCTTCAGATCTGTCCTGTAAGATGTTCAAAAGCTTTTGCCTGGGGGATTTATCATTTATCGCCCTTTGATTGGCCACGTCCCCCTTCCTGATAATTGTATCAGTGTGTATTCAATAAAAAGAAGTAAAAAGAACAGAATAGATAGAATAACCATTATAGAATAGTTTTTATTTACCTCGTCCGTCGGTAACATTCGTCCGATAATTGAAAATCTTCAATTGTTCGCTGATCCCATTTGTTTACTATTTTTGTTCTCCCACTTTCTCTGCCCCATAGCAATTTGCAGTACAGTGGAATATACGATACGGAGGGGCTGGAGTAAGCGGCAGTTCTGATTTGACCTTTTGGCAGTCTGCATTTTGTGGTAGTTTAGCCGGATGTACCGCGGGTGCTATCACCACACCACTGGATGTGGCGAAGACACGGATCATGCTGGCCGAGGTCAGTGTGAAACACTATATTCAGTCCATTTTTTAAAAAGGCTTTGCATAGATCTCCTGGATGCTCTTGTTTTTTGGTTGAATCCTATTGAGTTTCACCGATGTTAGTTTCATGTTTTCAGTTATTGACTACTTTTCGTTCGTAACGTGTGCTTTTTAGGGATGGGGATGGGGTGGATATCTGTCAACACATTCGTACTGACAAACAGCGCATTCTTGGAGTAAACTTTTATTGGAAAATTATTTCATTCTGTGCAATTCTACCTTTCTTTCCAACTTTCTCCTGTTTGCAATAGCATTCCATCCTCCTTCATTGGGTTCACATCATAAGTACTTAGAATATACTGGAAACAATGCAACGTTGATCGACATTGGTTTCGTCATATCTCACCAGACGATATTACTACTGCGTTACTATGGTCTTTAGTACTAAGATAACTTCTATTCAGGCAGTTTTTCTTGATCTGTTTCCAGCCGGGTACTCCATTGGCATCTGGTCACCTAGGCCATGCACTGCGCCTAGTGTTTCATGAGAACGGAATTCGTGGGTAAGTCACTCGCTTTCCACACACACAGAGCTGTAGGACTACCGGAGTAATATGCTTGACCAGTGGCACCCGTGCATCTTTCACATTTCTTTGTAATCTCCTTGCAAGCAGATTCTTACCTTATCCCATAGGGCGTTTACACGAGTCGAATTGTAACAATGATGAACAAAATTCCATATGATGTATTCGGTTGTGTTGTGTGCTCATGGATGTTGGAGTGCAATGTATGTTAATGATTCGTCAAGTTTTACCTTGAAAGAATCAATCGTCTTGGCACAAGCGACATGAGATAGTAAGGAATTCCAGGCAGTGCACACTCTGACGGCTAAGGAATGACGTCTACAGTCCAGTCGAAATTTTTGGAGTAGTAAGTTGAATGGATGTCCACGTAGATGAACGCTTGATTGTTTGGTGGTTTGGGTTGTGTAATATTTGATACACTAAAATTAAGTCTCCCCGAATCCGACGATACTGAGCAGAGTATAGACCCAATGACTTAAGTCTTCCCATGTATAAATCATAATAGAGTCCTCTGACCATCTTCGTGGCGAGCCTTTGTGGACGCTCCAAAATCTTATGATCATGTTGTAACCAGGGTTCCAAGTTTGGATGGCATAATCAATATGCGGCCGGATGTATGCTGACAGCAGACGTGAGAATAAAGATGATTCAAAACGACCGAAAACACGTTTAAGTAGACCGACATGTTTGAGTGCTGTTGATGACGCCCTGGCACAGTTAATAGAACAGCTCAGATCTTCGTGGACTATCACACCATTCGGGAAGAATGATAGAACACCAGGAACACACACAAGGTGAACAGTTCACTGGCAAGCATTTATCATCATGAAAGGCAGTACTTTGGCATTTCTGCTATGACATATATACTCATCAACCAGACCACTTGAATAATACAAGAAAAATACATTATTCACACACGTCTGAGTCCAGACTGTGTGCCAAACAAATCACAGTACAATAATCTTTATCACAAAGAAAAACAATCATGATTGGCTTGTGGGCAAAATACCACCAAATTGCCTAAGCCAAAGCAGGTGAATTTTCTCGGGAAATTCACAGCAGCAGCCCTCGGCTAGCTAAAGCTTAATCCGCAAGGCAGTAATCCATTGGGGACCGGTGTTTCCGTTTCCGTCAGTTTCTACAGATTTCGGTGAGGTAAACTGCGAACGAATGGTAGTTGAATTCTTTTGACCATCGTGACTGCACCAAGGTCGTCACTATTCCTCCACTTTATCAAACCACAAGGTAGTCGATGGTATTGTTTTCTGGATAGGGCTGATATTAAAAGCAATCCGTGAGAATCTTTCCAGATCTTACAGTAGAGTGAGCTATATTATCGAGAAAACGGGGTAAATGATGGGTTAATACCTACATACGCAAACTTGGAGATATATCCATTCGAAAGCAGAACGTCGTAGTCCACACGGTTGTTGATGAAAAGGTTGGAAATTCCTCTTAATTGAACCTATAAGAGCATTTTATCATGTTCTTTTTTCCATATTCCAAGTGAATTCCTGAAACCATCATTAGTTTCAGTTTCTACAACCATTAACCATGCACTATCGTGCGCCGATTTCGGTTGCTGTCTTTTGGCTGCCTATTTGGATGAACATGAGGAGAAAG